TGGGAGATACTGCTGAATGGGAGAATGGGAAGACTATAAAGGAGCCCATCACCAATGAGATTGGGGAGAGCAAGGAAATCGTCAACGAAGGTAAGACGATGCAGTGCTGTCACTAGCTGTTTATATAACATTTCTAACATGCAAACACTCTTTCTCTTGTAGACTCCTCCAAAAGTCCTGAGGTGAAGGATACTTCTAATGTTCCGCAGAGAGTCAGCACGCGAAAGGTAAGTTAATCCCAATGTGTTGCGCCAAATAGTAAACAACAACCCAAACTGCCCCCTCCCCTCTTTACAGCGATTCAAAAAGTCTCTGGGACCCGACTTTGTGGACTCGTCCGATCAGATGGCGTACTACATGAAGGAGCCAAATGCCTCGCTCAAGTGCGGCATGTGCAATGTCCTCCTCACCAAAGGGAAGCCCTCCATCATGGGACGAACGAAGGCGAAACCAGGAGGCAGCAATGACAAACATGAGCTGGAAAAGGGCCTCATTCAGTGCAGCAGCTGTGTGCTGAAAGGTTTGTTCTTGAGGAGGAGGATACTATGCCTCAAAAACTCAAAACAGTCACAAAAGCTAACACCTTTTTCTTCTTCTTCTCTGCAGTTCACACCGCCTGCCTTTCGCTAAAGGAGCAAATCGGCTCCAAGTCGCAGTGGAAGTGCGCCGCTTGTGGCGTCTGCTCGGTGTGCAGCATCAAGAGTAAGCGAAAGGTAGGCAACTTATCAAAAAGTGTGCTTTCTTCTCCAAAACTATCTCACTGAACACATTTGCGCTTTTAACAGGAGTTCATCATCTCGTGCACGGCCTGCAAGCGCGGCTTTCACACCTGCTGCACCAGTGTGGCGCAAACTTCACCCGGTATGTGAACAGTCACTGATGGTGACTTTTTTTATCAACGCTCTATTTTCATCATCATTCTTTCGATTGTAGACAACACCACCTGGCACTGCACACATTGCCTTGAAGCTGATCAGAAGGAAGGTGCAAATGCAAGTGCCAGTGACGACTTGGCGGCCACACCCAAGGTGAGCTTCACAATCAAGCCTATCGGCAAGCAAATTACGCCGACCATTATCACCGGTAACGGGACGATTGCCTCATCGAAGTCCCTTCTTCCAAAGGCATCCTCTTCGGTAAGATTACCATGTTTGTAATTCCTTTTCATCTTTATTTAATCAACTCAATTCCACCGCCATCCAATTAGATGGCAGCTTCATCAGCACCTTCAAAGCAACAGCTCAAAAAAGTGAGCCAACCCACACTCAATTACAATCCCAAGGAGACCACTATGCTGCTGCCTAAACCAGCGAGCAGCGAAACGCCTGCTTCAAACAGTCTTCTGATGCCCGTTACCATATACTCCCATTGTGGCATGACGGCCAGTTATGGGACTCGTCCGCCGAAAGTCATGACCAGCAGCGAAATGGAAAAGTTCAATAAAAAGTACGATAAAAAGTTCAATAGAAAGAATAGATCGGAAATACTGCTGTTTCGAAACGCTGAACGACTGCAAAATCACTCTGAAAGCAGCCCGACGATGAACGGAAGCAGCGAGCCTGAAGCCAAGCAGCCGCCTGCGCAGAAAAGCGTTAAAGTGAAGAAGAACGGTAGTAAACCGAAGCAGCAGTCNGCAGTCGCTGATAAAGCCAGTTGATAAGTCTGCGGGTAGGTCTTGTTGCTCTCAGCATAACCAAAGGAAACTTAAATTTTTTTATTGGTGCAGGAACTTTAGACAATGACGAAATCAAAGAGGAGGAGGCAAACGAGATTAACCACNGGCAGCGAAATGGAAAAGTTCAATAAAAAGTACGATAAAAAGTTCAATAGAAAGAATAGATCGGAAATACTGCTGTTTCGAAACGCTGAACGACTGCAAAATCACTCTGAAAGCAGCCCGACGATGAACGGAAGCAGCGAGCCTGAAGCCAAGCAGCCGCCTGCGCAGAAAAGCGTTAAAGTGAAGAAGAACGGTAGTAAACCGAAGCAGCAGTCGCTGATAAAGCCAGTTGATAAGCCTGCGGGTAGGTCTTGTTGTTGCTGTCTGCATAACCAAAGGAAGCTTACAATTTTGTTTATTTGTGCAGGAACTTTAGACAATGACGAAATCAAGGAGGAGGAGACGAACGAGACTAACCAGGCGTCTGCTCCAGTCAACGATTCCCCTTCCGATTCCAGCCTACCGCCACTTCCACTTTCTTCTCTACCACCCTCTCTTCCAACTTCTCCTTCACTACCACTCTCGCCGCCGATAGCATCCTCCCAGCCTGCTACAGCACCGGAGACGAGAAAGCGCCCTGCTCGATCTGGTCCGAATATCAAGTTGCTCTTTGGCGAAAACTCCTGCTCGGAGATGAAGCACAACTTCATGGCCTGGGTCAGCTGCGAGCTTAAACATCTGGTGTAAGTGTTGTGCTGTGGTTCGCATTCTTCTCGTTTACACCAGTTGCTATATATTTTCACTGTTTTCGCCCCACAGCAAATTCGACCCGAAGCCGTTCAATGGTCTGTCCACCAACGTCCTCAAGTGGTCGTGTCAGGACGTGAACCTCTTCTTCAACTCAATTGGCTTTGTGTCATGTGCCCAGTTTGCACTGGACAATCAGGTGGACGGCATGTCTCTGCTGCTGCTGAGCCGCCAGGACATCATCAGTCGTTTCCCGATAAGGCTCGGACCGGCGCTGAAGTTGCACGCCTTCCTCACGCGTATACGCAATGAGTTTGAGCTGTACTAGCGTTTCCGTGTTGATTTCATTGTTATGATTTCTGTTAAGTTGAGTTACTATGACCTTGTTGATGATGATACCCTCATATCATTCGTTGTTGATTTATTTTATTCGCGTCATGTGTTTAAGACCACGACGGCAATTTCGCCCTTTATGCGTGAGTGTTTGCCCAATAAACAGCGTCTTTTATCGAATTTATTTTTAGGCTGACTGTGCACACTGCTGCTGTTCTGCAGCTCATTATTCTGCTCTAGTGTCCCCTCAAGACAAGTCATGCACACCTTTCGCAAGTCAGTCCCACAGAAGGTGGAGTTATCGGTGGTGCCGAAGCACTACTCAGGGCGAACCAAGTTCCGCATCGGTCTGGTCACCGTCGGCATGCTCAGCTTCTTCTCGCTGGCCATCTTTGTGAGCCACCGCGAGAGCACCGAAACTCTTCCTACCATTGCCTTCGTCGACAATCAGTTCTACTTTGTGCACAACCTTCTCATGACGGCCTTTGCCTTCTCGATGGTGCCACTGGCCGACTTTCAGGTACGCCTGATTTCCTTTCTAATCTTTAAAATCATCACCAATACTTTTTTCTTCAACCAGGTCTTTGAGTACAACAGTCCCTTTTGGAATGTCCTCAAGTCGCTGTCCACCTACGGTTTACTCGCCGAGCTTGAGTCTATGCTGCAGTTTTTCTACCACAACATGGGCATATTTTGGAGTGAGGAGTACCTGAATAAGACCAAAGATAGCCTGCCGCTCATCTTCAATCTGATCATTCTGGCCGTTTTTCGTTGCCTTCTTCTCGCCTTTCTCGTTTTGTTGGGCACTAAGTTTCTGGCTTTGATTTGCAAAACTCGTAAGCTGCCCTCCAGTTACTACGTTCCCATAGAGTGGAACATCATCGAGTACATCATCTGGCACGCTCTTGGCTATTTCATTACCGTCATCTTTGAACAGCTGGAGCCCTTCCAAGTGTGCTCAGTTGTGGCCATCTTTGTGACCGCCTACACTTACGCTCGCGAGTCTTTTTTCTGGTCCAAGAAACGCCTCTGCAAAACTAATGTCTACTAGCCTGTGTGTTCTTTTATATTTGAAAGGTTTTGCAAATTAAATAGTTTTAAAAGTAAACTAAAAACCAAAGCACATTTTGTGAATGCAGCCCATTTCTCACCGTCAGCAGTAGTGCTACTACTTGAGCACGTGCACTGCTTCAACGGAAAAAGCAAAGGTTTCTCTGCTGCCAATGCTATTGACACCATTTAGAAAGGTTGACATAGAGAGTGAGAGAGGAAGAGCGGTAAACCTTGGAGCCAGCAGATCAGATGACACTGAGCAAATAGAGGAAGTGGTCAGTACTGGTGTCTGATGGCCCACTTTGCCCACTGCACAGTACCATCACCACACTGGTTGACATTAACACAGCCTCCTCATTCAACAGCCGCCAACGCCATCGCTCCTTCACTTCTTTGGAAGTGTCTATAAAAGTGTGCCCCAGGCTCCAATTCTATTTTCAGGAATTTCAGCAATGGCCGTGCCAAAGACTGTACTGCACCTAACTGTGCTGCTCTTCTGCACAGCTGTTGTCAGCGCTGACAAGTTGGACGATCTGCTGGTGAAGCACCAGTCGTACTGTGGCACTAACATTCACCGTGAGGCTGACAGCTCAAACAGCAGCAGCAACAGCAGCATCAGCAACAACAGCAGTTCATCCAACGACACCGGATCGTACCGGATCGTAGGTGGAACTTCGGCCGACAGGTTTGAGTTTCCCTGGCAGGTATCACTGCGACGGTGGAGTCCCAAGGCACAAAGGTGGTTCCACACCTGCGGCGGCGCTCTCATCGACAACTCCTTCATTCTCACGGCGGCCCACTGCACACTGGGAGCAAATGCAACGGCGGACCAGTTTATGGTGAGACTAGGCGAGTACGACTACAGCAAACGAGAGGGCGATGAGATCGATGTCAATGTCTCTAGGGTATAATTTTTCTTACAGTTTTACTTCTTGAAATACTCTCTCTTAACCTTGATTTTGAGCTTAGATTCTCTCCCACACTGGTTTCAACCTCAGCACCATAGACCACGATATAAACCTAATCAAGCTGGCGCAGCCTCTTCAACTGAACACCACCAGCAAACTGGTGCCCATTTGCGTTGGCAAGCAGCCGGCAGAAAAGAGCAGAGAAACCGAGGAGAGAGGCTGCTACTCAACAGGCTGGGGAAGGCTGAAGTTTGAGGGAGAATTCCCGAAGATTCTCCAGAAGGTTCCCGTCAAATGGGTGGAGCAGGAAACCTGTCAGAAGGCATATGAAGAGCACGTCAATGTCACTGCGGGGATGATTTGCAATGGTCAGCTCAATGCTGGCACCTGTTCAGGTGAGAGCTAGGATGGATTATTGTAGCCAGTTTTTGACCAGTTTTATCCTTTTAGGCGATTCAGGAGGCCCGACCCAGTGTCTGAACAGCAGTCCAACGATGCCCTCTGGCAAGTCTGATGATGGTGATAATGATCTCCGGTGGACACTGTACGGTCTTACCTCGTGGGCAGTGGGCTGTGCCGAGGAGAAGTACCCGTCCGTGGCGGCCAGGGTGGCCTACTACAGACAGTGGATTGCCGACACTATGGCAGGCAGCCTGTGAGCACATAATCTGTTGGCTGTCTTTTATTTGGCAAATCATAAAAAAGAGCAAAGTGATGCTGAGTAATTACAAATGAAAGTGGAAGAAACCAAATGAATTTACTAGAGTGCAAACAGACAAAGGACCACCTTGGCAAAGGACACTGCTTGCACCGACTCAGTGATTGAATTAATCTTGAATTTCAGTTGAAACTTTTTTTGTACAAAGTTAAAAAAAGTTGTAAAATTTTGTTTCAGATTTGTGGTTTTGTTAGCTGTGAACACACCTTATCAGGGAACGTTAGTGTGCGATATTGCAAAGATGAGCGGACTGCCTCGACCAGTTCGGTGGTGGTGGTGGTGGTTGTTGGGCAAACTGCGCAGACTGCCACTGCCGCTGCTGAAGCTTTCTGCTGAAAGACTGCCCCTCTCTAGCTTGTCGGGCTCATTCATCAGCGAGTCACAGTTGAAGATAGACTGGCGTTTCTCTTGCAGTGCCTGGAGAAAGGTCTCGTAGCTGGGCGGAATCTCCCCAGTGGCTTTCTCGTAGGTGGGCGGCGGCCGAGAGAAGGCGAGTGAATTGAGTAGCTCTCGCTGGGAGAGCAGTTGGTCGACGTGGACGCCGTTGATGGTTGTCCGCATCAGGTTCTCCTGAATGTTCAGACTCTGCGCCTTCAGCCGTCGGCCGCAGAGGACGCCCAGGACGATGATGGAGACGAAGGGAATGACCATCAGTATCCAGACGACGTAGGGGACGTTGCTGAAGTCAGTCTGCTTGTTCTCACCAGGGTTCGGCGGAGCGGCGGTGCTCGAGGGCTTTGCTGGTGGCTGGACATTGGGGCCTGGTGTGGTCCGCTTCGGCCGTTGTGTCGTCGGTGGGATAGTTTCTCCATTATTGGGCGGCTCCACTGGCTTGCCCACGACGCACATTCCCACTGAAGGGTTGCAGATAAAGACCACCTTTGGATCGCCAAACTCTATTTCGCAGTCTTTGTCCGACGTGCAGTGGACGGGCTCGACAACGACTTTCTGGGTGGTGTTCTCTGCAGTAGGTGGTGCAGTGGTGCCATCGCCTGCTGTGCTGCTGGTCCAGTTCACAGTGGACGTGGTCATGTTCTCAGGGGAATCCATCGTGAAACCTAGATCAGTATCAGGGCTGGGAAAGTCAATAATCTGACAGTTGGTAGATGTGATGAGGTGATTAGGCACCAGAAGTCCGCTGCAGAACAACAAAAAGAGTGGCCACCATTTGGGACACATTGCAGGCACACTCACAGTGGGTGGAAGTGGATTCAGCACTCAGGGACAGACTCGGTGGTTGACGAGCAGGATCTGGATCTGTGGACTGGTCATTTAAGAGGAGGAGGAGAATGGAGAAAGAAAAAATGTTGTTTTTAGACTGGTACTGTGCCCACCGCTGACTGAGGCCAACTGTGGCGCCAACTGCTGCTCTCAGCTCTCCCTGCTCTGATTAGACCCAAAAAGTGAAAACCAAATGCCAGATGCACAGAAAGTACAGTGCCATAGTACAATATATGTGCTAATAATAATACTGCAAACTGATGACTAGTGAATGAATGTACGGCAGCTAATACTATTTATTGCCACATAACCTGCCCGGAGAAATATCGATTAGTCTGATGGCTGATTCGAGAGTGCGGTAAATTATTTCTATACTTTGGTTCACTATCACTGCTGCTGCTGGCAGGCCAAGTATTTTTATGACCAGGGGCTGATGATGATGATGCCGTTGCTGCTGCTCGAGTTGCTGTTGCTGTTGCGGCAGTTGCTGCAACTGAGCGATTTATGGCCGGGAAGCTGTGTGCGCCTTTGTGTCGAGTTGGTTTTGCTTACCTGTGTGTGTTTACACCGCTTCCAACACTGACTGGACTCAATGTCTGTCTGCCTAGATGCCTGCTTAGATGCCTGAAAAGCAGCACTTCAACAATGCGCCTCCAACACGGGCACATGCAACAAACTGTCAGATGATGCTTTTCAGATTTTCAATGTAACTCTCCAGTAGATCAAGGCTCTGATGGTGGCGAGTCGAACCGATCATGCTGCTGATGACGAGACGGTGCCGGGGCCGCTCGGTGTCCGGTCACGAAGACAGCAAGTGTTGCTGCTGCTGATTTGCGGGTGGCAAGAGCTCACAGTGGGACTTTCCGCTCCTCTGACGTCACTCAAGCATATGCAGTCTACAACAACAAAAAATGAAAAAAGCAATTGTACGATTATTGACTGCTGCTGCTGCCGGTGGTAAGTGTACATGTGACATCGATCGATTTAAATATTCAATATTGCTTGGGTATCGATCACGTAAATCACCGCCACCACCACAACTGCTGGTAAGCTTACTTATTCAAGTTATGGCCGGTTTCCAGCTCGGTGAGCTACACTGCAAATGTAGAGATTAACTGAATGGTTCTTTTTTTGACAGCAAAACTTGGAGTCTCTTTTTTCTCAACAGTAGAGGCAAGTCTGACAGAAAGCACCCACCGGTAAGTCTGACCAATTTATACTGCTCGCACAACTAACCTAAAGTTGGCTTTCTCTTTCTCTGATTGCTGAGGTGTTGGACCGCCGTTGCTGTGTGTGCAAAGTGCCTGATGACTTCTTAGCAGCAGTTCTGACAGGCAGACACGTTGGATCTTCTCAGCTCTTCTCTTGAACCTTGTCTTCTAACATTGCTGTCATTGTTGCTAATCGAGAGCAGATCAAGGGAGCCATAAAGGAGCTGCGGTTTGGTGGTGCTGCTGCTGCTAATGCCTGCCACCACGGCAACAACAGTCGTGCTCTATACACACAATTTCACTATGGTTTGGGTCGTCGCTGCTAAACTAATCTGCCAAACTGAGAACATTGCCAAACCACGTGAACTTTGACTCCTGCTTGTAGTTGTGAGTATCCTGTCCTGAAACCTACAACAAACTTGTGGTCTTTTGGTATCATTAAAATCACTACACTAGAACAGGTAATAATTACAATTGATAAGCAGTTACCAGTTATGATCTTTTTAGCCTCAAAGATTATTAGAACTAAAGCACATCTTTTCTTCAGTTGACAGTTCCTGCTGTCAACTGTCACTATGGCCCACTCACCGTATTGCTAGTGCTGCTGCACATTTAGGTATTGACTTTTGCTGGTGTCAGTGTGGTTACAGTCGCTCCCAATGTCTGCCGTCCATGTACGAGTGTGGTTTTGAGTGTACAGCACAAGTGAATTGGTAACTCTCACTGCTGGTTCCACTAGTAGCGGTAATAATATTTCCAGTGCAGGCCAGTTTAAATAGTAGTAATCATTTCCTATTGCCCGCCGCCGTTTTTATTGGCACTTTCACGACACACAGGCACACAGCAAATGATGTCTACTAATGTCTGCTGGTTGTGGTGGTGGTGG